CCCCCCCCCCCACTCCGTCCCGCTCTCCGTTCTCTCCCCCATGTTGTCGCTCTCTATAGCGAACGCGCCGTATAGGGGCGCTGGAGGTCGGGGGTGCGCGCTTTTTGTTGTGCGAGATGCAGATTTGTGAAGAGACGCAAAGAAAATGTTCATAAAAACACTGAAAATTATAGTTTTACTGAAGCAGTTTTAGTTTTACTTTCCTTATAGGAATTTATTTTCACTATTTTTTTTAGTTTTTGAAAATTTACGCCTTCTCCTCGCCTGCGCGGCTGTGGTCGAACTGGCATGAGAGAGATGTCTCGGAGGCGAAGCGTTTCGAACGGAAGCTCTCCTTCACACTCTCTCGGCGCGCGCTGCTGTCGCCTGAGGGGGATGATGTGTTGCACAGCGGTGGCGGAGGGGGGACAGGACAGGGCAGGGCCTTCGTCCCGGGGATTATTAGGGAGTCACAACAAGTGTGTCTTTGACTCGCGACGCGACCGCAGCTTGCAGCACGCTTCGCGGTCGTGAACGTTCGCGACGTCGCTCACGAGGAGGACCCCATTTTTTGTATCTATTTTTTTTTTTTCGTCTTCCCCGTCTTCCACGTCGTCCCGCGATGACGTCTCTCTCAGATCGCCCAATCATGCCGCACGTCTCGCGTGGTTCGTCGACAGGTCGTCCTCTCTTCTTTTTATAATGTTTGTCCCTCCCGGTGCGAACGCGTTTTGGGGTGGAGGGAGATGTCAAACTGCTTGCACTCGTCTGCGCGGCGGTACAAAACACATCCGCCGTCACCCGGCGCCAAAGTGAGATGCTTTTGGTTTTCTTGCGGTCTTTACGCGCGTATGGTATCATAATTGTCTCCTTTCCCTGCAGCTGAAGTGTCTTGGCGGGGCCCGAAGCTTTCATTCCATTGCACGACGCCATTTCCGACTTGGCGGGGTTCAACCACCCGCGCTATTGCAACTTTATTTTTCTTTCGTTTGTATGTCCTTTCCTCCCTTTCCCCGGGGCGGGGCGGGCGCGCAGGGGGCTGCTCCGTTGTGCAATGCGGTGCAGTGTTGCCGTCCCGGCGGTCCCCGCCCCCGCCGCCACCTCGGCCGCCCCCGCCCGCCCTAGTCGTCGTCGGAAAGGACCACCCCCGAGCAGCTCAACGCACCGCAAGGGCGGCGGCGGCGCCAAGGAAACGAAAACACACCCCCTCTTGAGGAGGGAGAAAGGGGGGGAGGGGCAGGAGGCCCTCGAGATGAGGGGCGCAAGCAGCGAGCAGCGCAAGCACGGTGCGGAGCAGCAGCCCTCTTCTTATCTCGACACTTTCTCTCTCTCTCCTGACCCCTCCTCTCTCTCTGTGTCCCTTCACCCCGAGACGCCTGCCTCTGGCCCGGCTCTCCCTCGCCCTTTGACCCCTCCCTCCCTCTCTCCTCTCGGACGTCACGGTGCTTCAGTCGCTCCTCATCGTCCCGGACGGCAGCTGTCATTGTCGTGGAACGGGGTGCGAGCGGCGCGCGACGGCTCGACGGCAGTGTGGTGATTATGAGCGGTTTCCCGATTTAGAAACGCCAGCCAGAGCGCCCCGCGGGGCGTCTCTGCGGGACTTTTGCTGCTGCTGCGCTCGCCTGCCGCCCGGAATGCCTCCCTGGGGGTCGTTTTTTGGACGGAGCGCGCTGCTCCTGCTGCGGCTGCGGCTGCGACGAGAACGGTGTAGTACTATAGTTTCGTCAGGGCACAACGCCCCCGGCGAGGACGCGTCGCGCCGCGCCACAGTTCCGGCCCGCCCGCCCCCTGCCTCGACCGCCCCCCTCTGTCAGGAGGAGGGGCCCGGCCCGGTTGGGCTGGAGTTACCCTGTGTGTGATACATACTCATGGCATTTTTCATCATCGAGATTTGACGAATGAAGACGTTAATTTTTCTTTGGCGAACTCTTTGTTATTTTAAGGTGACGAAATATATTCGTAAAATGGTGAAAAATAAACAATAGTCGTTTCTAGTTGCGATGATATTCGTGTAGGAAAGCCACACACTGTTAGTGTACTTTCGTGGTGCGGTGACGTGAGCCAGGGGGGCTGCCGTCCGTCCTGTCCCGTCCACGACTACCCTGTGGTGTGACTCACGCCGGGGCCGGGGGTGCTCCGACTACTCACCCACCTCGCGTAGGACAAGCTCATTACCACCGGAAGTCTGCTTGTGCGCTACAACTAGTTTGCACGAGGTCTTTCTTATGGTTTGAGCTCTGCAAACCCAGTACGTTTGGTGTTTGCTTGTTTGTGTACCTTGAGGGGAGAGGAGGTGGAGGAGGCGGGCGGGGTGGGAGGCCGTGTTGCAAAAGCGTGGAGTGGAGCTGAATTGAGCGAAGTGCGTGGCGTGGCGGGGAGTGGCGCAGGCGGCGCGGGTGGTGGTAGGCGTGGTCGCGTGGCGATCGATGGCGTGCAGGGTCTGGCCGCCTAGTGTGCGGGTGGATGCGGGTTCGAGGCGCGGCGGGGCGGGGCGGGGCG